GGCGGGTTAAGACAGTGCAGGTGGTAGTGCTGCTGGCACGTGTCGCACGCCGCCATCGCTGTGGTGTGACATCATGCTACTCACCAGCCGTACTGCTTGCTCTTCTTGGGCGGGCGCTGCAGCGGCGGGTTAAGACAGTGCAGGTGGTAGTGCTGCTGGCACGTGTCGCACGCCGCCATCGCTGTGGTGTGACATCATGCTACTCACCAGCCGTACTGCTTGCTCTTCTTGGGCGGGCGCTGCAGCGGCGGGTTAAGACAGTGCAGGTGGTAGTGCTGCTGGCACGTGTCGCACGCCGCCATCGCTGTGGTGTGACATCATGCTACTCACCAGCCGTACTGCTTGCTCTTCTTGGGCGGGCGCTGCAGCGGCGGGTTAAGACAGTGCAGGTGGTAGTGCTGCTGGCACGTGTCGCACGCCGCCATCGCTGTGGTGTGACATCATGCTACTCACCAGCCGTACTGCTTGCTCTTCTTGGGCGGGCGCTGCAGCGGCGGGTTAAGACAGTGCAGGTGGTAGTGCTGCTGGCACGTGTCGCACGCCGCCATCGCTGTGGTGTGACATCATGCTACTCACCAGCCGTACTGCTTGCTCTTCTTGGGCGGGCGCTGCAGCGGCGGGTTAAGACAGTGCAGGTGGTAGTGCTGCTGGCACGTGTCGCACGCCGCCATCGCTGTGGTGTGACATCATGCTACTCACCAGCCGTACTGCTTGCTCTTCTTGGGCGGGCGCTGCAGCGGCGGGTTAAGACAGTGCAGGTGGTAGTGCTGCTGGCACGTGTCGCACGCCGCCATCGCTGTGGTGTGACATCATGCTACTCACCAGCCGTACTGCTTGCTCTTCTTGGGCGGGCGCTGCAGCGGCGGGTTAAGACAGTGCAGGTGGTAGTGCTGCTGGCACGTGTCGCACGCCGCCATCGCTGTGGTGTGACATCATGCTACTCACCAGCCGTACTGCTTGCTCTTCTTGGGCGGGCGCTGCAGCGGCGGGTTAAGACAGTGCAGGTGGTAGTGCTGCTGGCACGTGTCGCACGCCGCCATCGCTGTGGTGTGACATCATGCTACTCACCAGCCGTACTGCTTGCTCTTCTTGGGCGGGCGCTGCAGCGGCGGGTTAAGACAGTGCAGGTGGTAGTGCTGCTGGCACGTGTCGCACGCCGCCATCGCTGTGGTGTGACATCATGCTACTCACCAGCCGTACTGCTTGCTCTTCTTGGGCGGGCGCTGCAGCGGCGGGTTAAGACAGTGCAGGTGGTAGTGCTGCTGGCACGTGTCGCACGCCGCCATCGCTGTGGTGTGACATCATGCTACTCACCAGCCGTACTGCTTGCTCTTCTTGGGCGGGCGCTGCAGCGGCGGGTTAAGACAGTGCAGGTGGTAGTGCTGCTGGCACGTGTCGCACGCCGCCATCGCTGTGGTGTGACATCATGCTACTCACCAGCCGTACTGCTTGCTCTTCTTGGGCGGGCGCTGCAGCGGCGGGTTAAGACAGTGCAGGTGGTAGTGCTGCTGGCACGTGTCGCACGCCGCCATCGCTGTGGTGTGACATCATGCTACTCACCAGCCGTACTGCTTGCTCTTCTTGGGCGGGCGCTGCAGCGGCGGGTTAAGACAGTGCAGGTGGTAGTGCTGCTGGCACGTGTCGCACGCCGCCATCGCTGTGGTGTGACATCATGCTACTCACCAGCCGTACTGCTTGCTCTTCTTGGGCGGGCGCTGCAGCGGCGGGTTAAGACAGTGCAGGTGGTAGTGCTGCTGGCACGTGTCGCACGCCGCCATCGCTGTGGTGTGACATCATGCTACTCACCAGCCGTACTGCTTGCTCTTCTTGGGCGGGCGCTGCAGCGGCGGGTTAAGACAGTGCAGGTGGTAGTGCTGCTGGCACGTGTCGCACGCCGCCATCGCTGTGGTGTGACATCATGCTACTCACCAGCCGTACTGCTTGCTCTTCTTGGGCGGGCGCTGCAGCGGCGGGTTAAGACAGTGCAGGTGGTAGTGCTGCTGGCACGTGTCGCACGCCGCCATCGCTGTGGTGTGACATCATGCTACTCACCAGCCGTACTGCTTGCTCTTCTTGGGCGGGCGCTGCAGCGGCGGGTTAAGACAGTGCAGGTGGTAGTGCTGCTGGCACGTGTCGCACGCCGCCATCGCTGTGGTGTGACATCATGCTACTCACCAGCCGTACTGCTTGCTCTTCTTGGGCGGGCGCTGCAGCGGCGGGTTAAGACAGTGCAGGTGGTAGTGCTGCTGGCACGTGTCGCACGCCGCCATCGCTGTGGTGTGACATCATGCTACTCACCAGCCGTACTGCTTGCTCTTCTTGGGCGGGCGCTGCAGCGGCGGGTTAAGACAGTGCAGGTGGTAGTGCTGCTGGCACGTGTCGCACGCCGCCATCGCTGTGGTGTGACATCATGCTACTCACCAGCCGTACTGCTTGCTCTTCTTGGGCGGGCGCTGCAGCGGCGGGTTAAGACAGTGCAGGTGGTAGTGCTGCTGGCACGTGTCGCACGCCGCCATCGCTGTGGTGTGACATCATGCTACTCACCAGCCGTACTGCTTGCTCTTCTTGGGCGGGCGCTGCAGCGGCGGGTTAAGACAGTGCAGGTGGTAGTGCTGCTGGCACGTGTCGCACGCCGCCATCGCTGTGGTGTGACATCATGCTACTCACCAGCCGTACTGCTTGCTCTTCTTGGGCGGGCGCTGCAGCGGCGGGTTAAGACAGTGCAGGTGGTAGTGCTGCTGGCACGTGTCGCACGCCGCCATCGCTGTGGTGTGACATCATGCTACTCACCAGCCGTACTGCTTGCTCTTCTTGGGCGGGCGCTGCAGCGGCGGGTTAAGACAGTGCAGGTGGTAGTGCTGCTGGCACGTGTCGCACGCCGCCATCGCTGTGGTGTGACATCATGCTACTCACCAGCCGTACTGCTTGCTCTTCTTGGGCGGGCGCTGCAGCGGCGGGTTAAGACAGTGCAGGTGGTAGTGCTGCTGGCACGTGTCGCACGCCGCCATCGCTGTGGTGTGACATCATGCTACTCACCAGCCGTACTGCTTGCTCTTCTTGGGCGGGCGCTGCAGCGGCGGGTTAAGACAGTGCAGGTGGTAGTGCTGCTGGCACGTGTCGCACGCCGCCATCGCTGTGGTGTGACATCATGCTACTCACCAGCCGTACTGCTTGCTCTTCTTGGGCGGGCGCTGCAGCGGCGGGTTAAGACAGTGCAGGTGGTAGTGCTGCTGGCACGTGTCGCACGCCGCCATCGCTGTGGTGTGACATCATGCTACTCACCAGCCGTACTGCTTGCTCTTCTTGGGCGGGCGCTGCAGCGGCGGGTTAAGACAGTGCAGGTGGTAGTGCTGCTGGCACGTGTCGCACGCCGCCATCGCTGTGGTGTGACATCATGCTACTCACCAGCCGTACTGCTTGCTCTTCTTGGGCGGGCGCTGCAGCGGCGGGTTAAGACAGTGCAGGTGGTAGTGCTGCTGGCACGTGTCGCACGCCGCCATCGCTGTGGTGTGACATCATGCTACTCACCAGCCGTACTGCTTGCTCTTCTTGGGCGGGCGCTGCAGCGGCGGGTTAAGACAGTGCAGGTGGTAGTGCTGCTGGCACGTGTCGCACGCCGCCATCGCTGTGGTGTGACATCATGCTACTCACCAGCCGTACTGCTTGCTCTTCTTGGGCGGGCGCTGCAGCGGCGGGTTAAGACAGTGCAGGTGGTAGTGCTGCTGGCACGTGTCGCACGCCGCCATCGCTGTGGTGTGACATCATGCTACTCACCAGCCGTACTGCTTGCTCTTCTTGGGCGGGCGCTGCAGCGGCGGGTTAAGACAGTGCAGGTGGTAGTGCTGCTGGCACGTGTCGCACGCCGCCATCGCTGTGGTGTGACATCATGCTACTCACCAGCCGTACTGCTTGCTCTTCTTGGGCGGGCGCTGCAGCGGCGGGTTAAGACAGTGCAGGTGGTAGTGCTGCTGGCACGTGTCGCACGCCGCCATCGCTGTGGTGTGACATCATGCTACTCACCAGCCGTACTGCTTGCTCTTCTTGGGCGGGCGCTGCAGCGGCGGGTTAAGACAGTGCAGGTGGTAGTGCTGCTGGCACGTGTCGCACGCCGCCATCGCTGTGGTGTGACATCATGCTACTCACCAGCCGTACTGCTTGCTCTTCTTGGGCGGGCGCTGCAACGGCGGGTTAAGACAGTGCAGGTGGTAGTGCTGCTGGCACGTGTCGCACGCCGCCATCGCTGTGGTGTGACATCATGCTACTCACCAGCCGTACTGCTTGCTCTTCTTGGGCGGGCGCTGCAGCGGCGGGTTGAGACAGTGCAGGTGGTAGTGCTGCTGGCACGTGTCGCACGCCGCCATCGCTGTGGTGTGACATCATGCTACTCACCAGCCGTACTGCTTGCTCTTCTTGGGCGGGCGCTGCAGCGGCGGGTTAAGACAGTGCAGGTGGTAGTGCTGCTGGCACGTGTCGCACGCCGCCATCGCTGTGGTGTGACATCATGCTACTCACCAGCCGTACTGCTTGCTCTTCTTGGGCGGGCGCTGCAGCGGCGGGTTAAGACAGTGCAGGTGGTAGTGCTGCTGGCACGTGTCGCACGCCGCCATCGCTGTGGTGTGACATCATGCTACTCACCAGCCGTACTGCTTGCTCTTCTTGGGCGGGCGCTGCAGCGGCGGGTTAAGACAGTGCAGGTGGTAGTGCTGCTGGCACGTGTCGCACGCCGCCATCGCTGTGGTGTGATATCATGCTACTCACCAGCCGTACTGCTTGCTCTTCTTGGGCGGGCGCTGCAGCGGCGGGTTAAGACAGTGCAGGTGGTAGTGCTGCTGGCACGTGTCGCACGCCGCCATCGCTGTGGTGTGACATCATGCTACTCACCAGCCGTACTGCTTGCTCTTCTTGGGCGGGCGCTGCAGCGGCGGGTTAAGACAGTGCAGGTGGTAGTGCTGCTGGCACGTGTCGCACGCCGCCATCGCTGTGGTGTGATATCATGCTACTCACCAGCCGTACTGCTTGCTCTTCTTGGGCGGGCGCTGCAGCGGCGGGTTAAGACAGTGCAGGTGGTAGTGCTGCTGGCACGTGTCGCACGCCGCCATCAGATGGCGCTCGCTGCTGCGACCGCACGCCGCGCACTCTTTTGCCGCCAGCGCGAAACACGTGGCTGCCGATAAACGACATACAAAATATGGGGACCATTTTTTTTAATATTACAGTCCTACGTGCTAACAATCTATGCACTAACTATATAAAATCGTGAACGCCCTGGGCCAGTTTTAACTTAATCGTCACACTTCGCCACACAGTACCCGGCATTTCGCACCTTTAACGCTGCTTCCCGTCACCGGTCTAAGTATTTAACGGCTAGTGTAAGCGAGATGGCTATACCGCCATCTTTCGAAACCAAAAGATCTTTCTGGCATGTCCAATGTCGCCCCACTTACGAGACCCACTAGACGAAATGGGGTGGTTACCCGGCGATAAATCATTACTGCAATCATGTAGGACTGTAACCGACATCAGACAAAGAAGACTACAGATATCATTATCATTCTTAAATACCAAGATGGAAGAAAAAAAAACAATGTTACTTTAGATTTAAACTATATCGATAATTCAATGGGGACAACGATATTGTAGAACATTGTAAATAATTACCATATTTAAAAATATACACACCCGTTTTATATTATGGGATCTCATTAAGATTTGTATGTAATCACTTTAAACGTATAAACTTCTCAAAAAGAAAATACGGCAGTTATATTGTGTTATATAACTAGTCTGGCCATAAGTAATGTTACAATTTTAAAAAGTTTTTTTTTCTGATTTCTAATTTGGAATGCGTTTATTAAGTAAGAACTACGATCGATTTTCCATCATTAAATATTTCACTGATATTGCATGGAGTGCAGCGCTATATAAAACAGAATTGGAGTGATCATTGTTTTGCACAAAACGAATATAGTCATCAGTCATTAGAACTTAAAGATGGGGGCAACCACGCACTGTTAAGACCAGACCGGTTGTGCTGTCAAAGCCGGAATTCGACGAAACCCTATAAGGAAATAAAAAATAATTTTGCGCGAAATTAAGATTTCAATTAGAACCCAATAGCGAACCCGAAGCTAGATACTTACTGTAGAATACATAGAACATGCCCTATATCACTGCCTGCAGCTTAAGAGAGTGAATCGATCAAAACGCTTGCTGTTCCGATAAGCTTGTGGCAGACAAAGATATAATATGCTCTTTAGAAATAAAATTGTTTTAATTGACGCTTAGCTCTCGATAAATATGTACACGAGTTTTTAAACAAAATATTGTTTTTTTTTTTTATGTATAACAAAACTTATGGCCATACAAAGTAGACAAAAACAATTATCGGTTAAAAATAATGTCAACATAATTGCAGAGACGATGGCAACGTAAGACAAATACCCCATTTCGTCCCTTGGGTGTGATTAGAGTCGACCTAGTAACATGTCCTAAATGCTAAATATAAAACATCTGAGCCAGGTTCAGCAAGTAGCGTTGCGAAACAATTCATCATAGAACCAGATACACTACACTTTGTAGACGCAACAGCTATTGCAATCGATGTTTTACGAGAAATCCTCCAGTAAATAACAGCTTGGATTTAAGACATTATTAATGTAAATAGTAGCCTTTAATCAGATCTATGTAGTTATTTAAGTTTTAGACATGTAAGTCCTATGATTGTCTAGTACGTAAGTTAATTAATGTTTATATTGTTGCTTATTAAAAGAATTATTTTATGTTTGTAAAATTTCTATGATAAATGTATGTTTATTAACTGTATGTTTGTAAAAATGCACAAAAAAACACAAGCTGGGCCACCAAAAGCACGAAATAAAAGGCGTGCTGTAGCCGACCTCTGACATTAATCGATCAACAGACATCTCCTTACCACGTCACGCTGCCCTACAAGTAACACTCCACAAAGCAGCCCGTGTTTCTTAAAGAATAGTTTTTATTTAACTTTCCAAAATTCACCTATGGTTAGAAGAAGTCTACAAGAAAAAGTTGTATAGCCCTGCTCATAAGCTATACATCCCTTATATGGAAGAGGCCTATTCCATCAGTGGACTAACAGATAAAACTTATTCAACTTCATCGTCACTAGTTTATTAGTGCAAAGGAAATTCCTTTCAGATGTTCATTCAATATCTCGAATTTTTTATTGATTGCAAGCAGGCAGTAGGGATCACATATTGATAAAATAGCTTTGAAATTAGGTTTTTCAATCTTAAACTATTAGAACGATAAGAAAACTGACTGAAGAAGCAACTGTCAATAACATGTTCTATGATGTATTATTGTGGGGATCTTGTAGATTGTAAACAATATTAATTTTGCAATAGCAAGCAATATAGGCAAACTATAACTAGACCTTTTCGAGGAAACTAATATTTTGACTCCTTCTATTTTTTATTTTTCAGAGCATTACATACGATATACAGTGTCCTTTTGACATTTAAAAATAATATTTTAATAGACACTTTTAAACTGCCCTGTAGTAATTTTATTTTAAGTTGTAAATGAAATTATAGCATTACATTTTCTTAAAAACTAAAAAGAAAAAAAAACAGTTTTCCTCTCTGAGCTTTAAACAAAGCTAAAATGAATAAAAAAAATTGACTTTGACTTTGAAAGAAAGAAAATATTTTTATTTATTTCACATCTCATAACACGAAGCGTTATTAGGTGTGTGTTACTCTAGACACGTCAAGGTCAATTTATTTATTATACGATAATGTAAGTAGCCGTATACAAGAAAACAAAAATTAATCCAGCTTATATTTACTAAAAAAATATTTTATATTGCTACTTTGATAAAAAACAGTTTGAAAAAAATTTTAAGTGGACGTCTGGTGGATGTAGATGTTCACGTTAACTCTTGAAAAAATTGACGTATCGAGACCAGGTTCTTTTAGTTAGTTTCGGAATTACATCAACTGGTTACCGATTTCATATCAAAAGCCTAGTACGCGTCGTTTGTTAATATTTTTTTTTTTATAGAATTAGTGTGACAAACGAGCACACAGTCCACCTGATGGTAAGTGGTTGCTGCGGCCCATAGACATCTACCTCTATCCTCTGTTACAAATCAAAATGTAGATGCGTTGTCACCTGTGAGGACTAAGATGGAATGCCTCATTTCCAGTAAAAAGGGCCTCCGGCCACCTGCACTCACCAAGCGAAACGCAGAGGTAAACCTCTACTTCACGCTGGTTTTCTGTGAGGTCGTGGTACCACCCCGGTTAGAGCCGGCCCATCCGTGCGACAGCAAAAGCCGCCACGTGGCTTTACCAGTGTTAAAAATAATAAAATTATTTACAAGTTTTATAAATTTTATTGCTATTAAAATTTTAAATGCGCTTTCATTTTTTTTATTTAGCCCTTTATAAACAAAGGACAAATGTACCATACAGCCTACATCGATTTTATACTTCGTGTAATCAAATTATTTTGTTAATTTATTTCATTCATCAAAACTAAATGAAACAGTCATGTGGCGTGCACTTTTGGATTTCCAAACTATTTTTTCTTGCTTTTAACTTTCAAAAAACTAATTTACGGTATTAAACCGCGTTTAATTTCCCGACGATTCAAATGATTTACAGCATCCATGAGGTCAAGAAAAGATATATTTACACATCATCATCAGCTTATAACCATCCAATGCTAGGCATGGGTCTCTTCTATTGTAGGGAGGATACTAACTTATATTTAGCTTAATAATAAATAAGCACTAACCTTCAAGCGAAGTTGACAAAACTTTTCCATGGCGAGCGTCCGGATTGTCGCTAAGAGGAAAACCAACGCCCATCTTAAGTGCAGCTGCGGTGGGCACAGACATTGACCTGTGGCCGTTTCAACATATAGTATACGACCATGTCGTTTCAAGAGGCCTATTAGGTACTTGGGGTTGTTTCAAAACTAAGAAAATCTTACAAAATGCTTAGTAAAATTTAAACATATAACAAAGAATTCAATAAAATGCTGATGTTTGAAATTAATGAAATGGAAAAAATGATGCTGTAAAATAATTGATTTCTTTTTAAATATTTCTCTTAGTCAATTTAATAAATACTCAACGGTTTACAGTTAATTCCAAGTACAAAGTAGGCCTAACATTTATAAATTATAATAATAAATAAAACAATGATTATTATAGAAAGAAGTACACAAAAATATGAAGAATAATAAACAATGTCCTATTTGTAAGATGATTAAGTATACAGAACATACCGTTTCTGTAATTGCTGGGGTGTGACTTTAGGTGTCGACCTTGGTATTACAGGAGGTAACAAGGGCTTTTCTTCCATTATAGATGGTATAGTCTTCTTAGGAGAAATCATAATGATAACATCGTAGATCTTCTGCAATGCTAGTCGCGTAGAAGCCAATTCTGCAAGAGCGTCGGTATTCTCTTTGGATGCCTAAAGGTATTAAAACAAATTTTGTTACGGACAAGCAATAAACTCTATATAATGATGTTGTTATTATAAATATATAAGGTAATAATATTGATAAGACATGCGTGGATTACACACAATTTTTAATCAAATGACGGCTCGGTAACGCAGCGGCTCGACTATTAGCTGATGCACTGCGACCCGCGAATTCAAATCCCACGTGGAACAAAAATTTGTAGGGCCTTCAAATAATTATTTCGCGTCTGGATGTTTGTCTATGAGCAAATTATGTAGATATGTTAAACGCTTCTACGATACAAGTGCAAGAGATAATCCTAGTGTGGGGGAAATACTTTTTTTATTTAAAAAATTTATGAGCTACTATAACTGAACGGAAAAGCATTAATTAGGGTATATGAACGCCATCTTTTGGACAAGATCATATAAATCAAAGAAATTCAAAAGCGAAAAAAAATTATCACAAATGCATACGTATGACCACACGTCCTGTTATGAATGGGATCGTCCTTTTTTCGGTACTCCGTTCCGATATCTCCAAGGATTTGAGACTCAAAAATAACCTGTTTTATCGCAACTGCGAGATCCAAAATTTAAATTTAGAATTGCGAATTCGAAATTTAAAGTAATGTTTCGGAGGCGATTGATGGCGGCCGAAACTGGAACCGCGAGTTAATCGTTTCGCTGGCAACCTGGGTCTTAAGAATTTAGAGTTATTTGTTTTGGTGATTCCGGCAATACGAAAAAATATCCCGCTTTATTGCACCTTTCTACCAAACAGGTACACATTAAAAAAATCTTTTTAAGGTGAAAGCGCCAGACTAGCCCGCGGAATTCAAATTTTCTTACGTTTTTTACAGTTTGCATGTCAGTGTCAGGTTGTATGCTTAGTAAAAAATGATTCGCGACCGTAGCGAGTATGTATTTACACAATTATAATCATTATATTCATCAAACAACCCTCTAAGTTCATATAATCCTATTGTATGGCAGAAAGACAGAGCAGAAAGACTCAATCAAAGGGATTATATGAACTTAGAGGGTTGTATTGGTGATTTTAATGAAAATAATTCTGTAAACACATACTCGTTACGGTCGCGAATTATATTTTGTTTAAGGTGAGGTTGTATACCTCACCTTGACCTGCAAATTCCAAAAAACGTAAGAAAATTTGAATTTTGCGGGCCACCCTGGCCCTTTCACCTTAACCAAAAACCAATAATTTAGCCCAAGTGGTGCCAGAAAATAATATGATTGCAAAAGGTGCAGGATTTCGTAGAGACAATGCGGACGTAAATGTACGAGATATATCCAAGCGGGGATCAAATAATGTGTAAGTTATGTGAAATAAAGATCATTCCTAAAAGAAACACTCGAGATTTTGTACGATTTTTGAAAGATTCAGTTCCCGTTTCCAGTCAATCACATAATGTTCACGTTATACATACCTCATCATATTCGGCTCGAAGCTTGTCATCCTCTCCAAGTAGCTTTTCATTTTCCTTTGTAAGACGCTCGAGCGATCTTCGTAGTGACGTCACGCGAGTGTTTCGTTCTAAATAGTACCCAACAAACTCAACTGAAAATGCCGGTGGCACATGCCATCTGCGAGATACGTCCTTAAGTGCAGCCATCTACAATAGATAACAAACAATAAAAATATCATCATTATTGTCATCATTACAGCTCTTCACAAGTCCACTGCTGAACACAGGCCTCCCCTAAAGAATGCCACAAAGCACATGCAGGAAGTCGATGGATGCAGGTGGCTCAGGACCGTGCTTTGTGACATTCTTTGGGGGAGGCCTATGTTCAGCAACAAAAATGTAAAATAAGAAAATTACTATAGCAGTAAAATTAAAGCATTGTTAAATGACATGTTTAAAATGCATAGTATACAAATCAAATTACCTGTGCATCTTGAAATTCAAGTGCGTGGGTATCTATTCCCATACATTCCGCTTTCTTTTGGAACCTCCTCATGGCAGAAGCGCTGCTGTAGAGCATCCGCGCCATCTTTTGAGTTGGAACTAATTAAAAAAAATATTATAATTCTTTTAATTTTTAAAACACTAAAGCTTTGCAAATGAAATGCTCACCCCATGGCGGATTTCTATTTTCTTTCTGCTGTGAATATTTTCTTCGGTATTTGATCAGTTTCCGTTGTATCCTGATCTTCTCTTCTGTACTGAGATTATTCTGTAATTCCAATTTTCTAGAAATAACAGAACAATATACATGTTAGTCGTCATAACGTCAAAATAGATGACAATGCCTTATTTGTCTATTTTAATAAACTTTTAGCTTGACGAATTAAATGTAGGTATAAAATTGAGAGAAGAGCCGTGGTGATAAGGGAGATAAGTGGGAAAATAAGTGGTCGCCTTAATTTTTTTCTTAAAAAAAACGTTACACTGAATACTTTAATTTTTCCTCTATCGTATAGGCGTCATATACATAAATTGCGCCTGGAAGATTTTTTTCTATGCGATACAAACACTTTTTTGGTGCGGGATTTAAACCCGCGGACCGCCACAACCATACGCTTGGCCACTGTGCTAACGAACCGAGTTTAGTTAGATTTACGAGAATAAGAAAGATTTAACTATAAATAGAGAACTAACGAGAACCAGTTAAACTGGTGATGAAGTAAACCAGTGCAAAGAACTAAGAAGAAGAGGAAAGTTTAAACTTTTTTTAAATTTTAATTTTTTACCCTTGTGAGTGTAATAAACAAATAACACAACCAACAACAACTCAAGGCTAATATCTATTATAAAATGTCATTTAAATATTTACGTTAAGAAGTAAAAAAAATCTCCAAATTTAAATGATGGTGGTTATATTTAAATTTAAAGAATAAGCCATTTAATAAAAAAAGAATTATTAAAATCGGTTCACAATTGCCGAAGATATCGCATACACTATACAATACATCAAATATCAAAATGCAGTCGCATTGAGAATATTATTTTTTTAAATGGGCTGAAGATGAGTCTTAAAGATTTAAAAATTTTCACACTTGCACTGAACTACTTTAACTATGAAATATACATTTAATGTCCCAAGTTTAGTTACCATTATGACATTGTATTTTTCGTTCATAGCAGCCTGTCAGCAGTCCACTGCTGAACATAGGCCTCCTTCAGAGTTCAATATAACATTAATAAACTAATAAAAACACAAATGTAAATGGAGTTGTAAAATACGACTATGAGAAACCCCAGATATCATCCGATAGATGGCAGTGTAGCGATCGTGTTTACGCCAGACATAAATTATCCAGACCTGCGGCAGGGAGCACCGTCAAACGTCTGGTACTGCAACCGCAAATCCACCTGCCAAACGTTCTCCCAACAGGGACGCCCATATCCAGCAGTGGACTTTTACCGGCTGATAAAGAACAAAATGAAACAATTGCAACAACAAACGGGTGGTATTTGAATTTGAAGTAGGGAAATCCATCGGCCCATTTCGTTAGTGTAAAAAAATATCAGATAGCCTCGTATAGGTGGCTGTACCATCTCGTATATGTCATATATTAAATATCCAAACTGACAACCAGTACTAGCGTTTAGGAAATTTTGAAATCGAGAGCGAGAAATCTGGTACTACGATCATCAATACGCCAAAGTTTTTCTACAACGATAAAGGCCCATGTCCAGCAGTGGACTGCTAACAGGCTGATAATAAAAGAAGAATACAAGCAAATAAAAAGGAAATTTTAAATGTGTAAAACGGCAACCTTTTTTCAGTTCGAAGTTGCAAAGCGAGCCAATTCCTCTTGCGTTTCTTAACAAGCGTTTTGTCGGAGTGTAGCCGACAATGTGCATAAAATGGGTCAGCTTGTTCCACCTCCTCAGAATGTGCTTCTGCTAATAAACCTTCACGCTGTCCACTAAATAAAAAAATAATATGTCATATTTATATTTCTAGTTCTTTTTTTTTTTGTTATCATCAGATAAATATCACTACGACTACCGTAAGCCGTAAGGGCTGCTGTGTTGAGTGAAAACATTTCCGTAGGTATTACAAGCGATACATAAAGTGTTTAAGATGAAACCGAGCAAACATTTTCCACTACCATCATGCAGGAAGTGGAATCATGCAAGATTTCTTAACGTAAAAAAGTGCAACATAGAGAATATTGATTTTCGTGTAATTGGATATATATCACACACAAAATAGTTCAAACAGGCGTATCTTTATCTCTATAATTTTTCTGTCGCTGTTTATTTTTATTTTTTAAACTTAGCCCCACACTAGGATTTTCACGTATATCGTGGAGGCAATTTACATACATAAATTGCACAAGGAGAAACGTCCAGACCCGGAACAATCATTTACAGGCCATACAAATACTCGTTCCGTGCGGGATTCGAACCAAACAACTTTTGCAGTAAGACATTTTCGAATAACTTCAATCGGACTAGAGGTCTCATCTCGGTGATGAGTACTGGGCCAATAAAATTATGACCCTCAAAATAATTTATAGAATTGACGAAAATAAAAATATCTTACAATGATCAAATATTGTGACATTAATCATAATTTTTTTATATAAAAATGCATAAATGTATCTCACCCACAGCTATCTATACTCATTTCTTTATTTATAATTTAATAACCAATTTTCTTACTTTAACATAACTACAATAAATAAACAAATTTACCAAGTAACGTGGAAAAATGTTTTGCATAGTCCTGCATCGCATCCCACACAAACACCAGTGCGTGCTAACGTCGCGTCCGCACACAGAGCGCACGACCGCGCGCCCCAACGCGAGTAAGCCATCTCAAACAGAGTCACACCAGAAAGACGCTCCACCTAAAATATTTTAAATGATAAAAAGTCGTAGATATAGAGAGATTGGACTGAGCGTATGCCTCACAAAAGTGACCATTCACTAGAAAGAGACAAAGCAACTGTGCGGCCAATACATGTTTATTATTGCCAAAAAAAGATTGAAAACGATAAGTATTACACAGGAAACTGTGACAGCAGAAACAATCAGATTATTAAATAACCAGACATACAATCACTAATCTGCCCGCCAAACATGCTGATTATGGCTAATTCTCCCAACTTTAGGAGAAACTTAGAAGGATGATAAGTCAAGAATTCTAAAATTGGAGTATGCCACACTCTCTGCTTGCATTGGTTTAATAAATTTTAAAGCTTAAATTTTGTAGATCGTAATTAATTATCTCTTCTTTTTCTGTCTGTTTGTAATGTCAAAATAACAGCTTTTATTAAATCTATATAAAATTATATACGGTACTTATAACAAAAAAAAAACATATTTTACATTTTTTGTCTGTCTGTTTGTTCCGGCTAATCTCCGAAATGGCTGGACCGATTTTGCCGGGCTTTCACTGGCAGATAGTTAATGTCTGAAGGAGTAACATAGGCTACTTTTATTTCAGAAAAAGAATTAGGGTCCCGCGCTAAAACTTAACATGAAATCCAATCGCAATTAATTCCACGCGAACAAAGCCGCGGAGAACAGCTAGTCAATAGTAATAGTAAATAAATTAGGTAAAAATAAAAATTTAATAAAATGGCCTACCTCAGAAAAAGCCACCCCAGGGACATAAAGAGCACATACCAGATGCACCCAAGCACCTACTTCCGTTTCCTTAAAAATACCACCTTAAAGGAAAATAATAAAATTACAAGAACTTTGAATAATACAATCTAAAAGTATAATTTTTCTATACATATAAATAATGTGTTTGTCTGTAATATCGAAATAACTGCCTTTTAGAGAGCCGGGGAAGTATAAAGGGGGATATTTGCCATAGATTTATTTACGGGGTAGAGCCATGCTGCAGCTATATTTCTGGTATAGTTGTAACATGAATGGATTGGCTCAACCGGGGAAGGGCCACACTCTCACAGAATACCAGCGTGTTAGCGTGTTTCGTATGGTGAGTGTAGAGAACCGGAGACCCTTTTTACTGGAAACGAGGCATTCCATCTTAGTCCTCATGGGTGACAACGCATCTGCATTTTGGTTCATAATCGAGGATAAATGTAGATATCTATGGGCCACAGCAACCACTTACCATCAGGTGAACTGTGTGCTCGTTTGTCACCCTATCCTATAAAAAAAAAGATGCCACTTGGCAGGCAGTTTGGCAATGGTAGTTTTTTTGTTATTATTTAGAGTTGTTATCAGGAAGATGTTGCTTTCCATCTCCTGTTTTTGTTTTCCCTCTGTTGCCTTTTACGACACACGCGTGATGATGTAGGGTAGAGTATTCTCTTACACCACCACTACACAACAGTCTGGGGTTAATAAGAACAAAAAAAAGTTTTTAGTTCACATAGGCAGTGTATGAAATGCATGGGTAGGTAATTTAATAATGAAATCTAATAATAATTAATCTTGTTTAACCAACAAATAAAAATAACCTTTATTAGGGCACAATTCACAGTTAGGATCCTTAACTCCGGCTTTACAAGCTTCACAAAACCATGGTTCAGTTGAAGCTGAACTAACTGTACTAGACTCACTCGTCACATCAGAAACTCCATAGCAACCTGTCAATAAGAAATCATTGTTGTTGTAAAAACATTAATTAAAATTGTTGTTAATATTTAAAAATACACTAAACTTCATGTACAATAAGAAGTCATTGTTGTTGTAAAAAAATTAATTAAAATTGTTGTTAATATTTAAAAATACACTAAACTTCATGTACAATAAGAAGTCATTGTTGTTGTAAAAACATTAATTAAAATTGTTGTTAATATTTAAAAATGCACTAACCTTCATGTACAGTAACACCACAACCATCACATTCCACAATCTCATTAAAATCATCACTTCTAGAGCCCAAACAACCAGCACAAATTAAGACATTGGCTAAGTCACCTGGAAACTAAAAAAGAAAAAAATTAATAACTTATTCTAAACAATAATAACAGTATTATCACATTCATTAAATATTTCCAATACTTTTCACACCCATGTAAAATAATAATATCAACTCCTTCCAATTTACAGAAAAATATTAAAATAAACCTAATTTCATAAATATTCTAACTATAAAGTTAATTATCACATATGTGCACTCCAGGATTTACCTACTGTTGCAAACTGTGACTGACATGAGGTAAATATGAAGAAATGAAGTGTAATTATTTTGTAAACTTTTCTACAACACCATTTTATTTTTAAAAGGCTATATTTTATACAACATGTAACAAAAACCCTGTGATCCCGTTATGTACGTTATCAGGATCAGTATTCAAACCTATAGAATTTTTTTTTTAAAACTCGACCATATTTATTTTATTTTATTTAAAAAAAATATTTTATGTGGTTTTATTACCTCTTACTGACACTAGCCAATGCTAAGGCTAAGTAAAGCGGGGTCTTTGATCATCCTCTTACTCCCCAGACAATGCAGCGGTAATAAAACCACATGCAATTTGCATACAATCATTTTTTTAAATAAAATTAAAAAAAATATATTGTTCGACTTTTTAAAAAAAAAGTTATTTCTATACATTTGAATTATGATCCTGATAACATACTTAACGGGAACCACAGGGTTTTTGTTACATATTGTATAATCAACTATTACACACAATCAGTGTATGGAGTTTTCATGGTCACATTATAAAGTTAAAATGACAATCATTAGCAGTGGCGAAAAAAATGTGTAAAATAGGTGTAAAATAACCAGAACAGTAATATAATCAGGCTTTACTTTGCATAAAAACATTTAATATTAAAGATGTTAAGATCATTTAGCTAAGATCTGCATGAAAAAAAATGTATACAACTCTCTGATGCACTATGTGGGTTATTGCATGTTTTATCGCTTCACACAGTCGGTCGCTACTAAAGTGGAGAGATGTTGTGTTAGAGTTGTAAAAATGGACAAGTTTATTGACTCACATAATGGTCAACCATTGCAGAGATTATATCTCCTGATGTCTCATATAGAGGTGAAACAAATGTCATACTATCCACAAAGGTGTCTTTCCTAATGTAGTGGTGTAGAGGGATGAAAGAGAGGTGTTCTTCTAACTAGGTAAGACACATCATTTTTATTTTTAAATGTAGACTGATAATGGGAAGCAATGTCAAATGTTCAAGGCATTTTGGACTGTAATATTAATCCACCTTTGAAGGGTGATGTCCAGCAGTGAATTTCTACATCCTGGTGAAGTAGGAGAATAATTTAAAATAAAAAAATTTGTACAACTGACTTCAATATAAACTATTAAGAATAACTCAAAAACTATTGGTCAGACCTTGATCAAATTTATATGGGACAACATGCGAAGCAACAGATTTCAAATAAAAAAAGAATCATCGAAATTTTTGAAGTCAGTAGAAAAGAAGAAGTAAATTGAATGCATAAAAACCTTGAATTCCTTTTGCTTGGCCTTTGCAAGTAGGTCCGTAACACACAACTCTTCCCCGAGTTTGTTAGCAGAGTTTTTGAAATTGTTTTCAATATCTGATCCTGACTGATCATCGGAACTGACACTCTTTTCATCTTCTTCTGAATTTATATTAAAAACATGTAACATTATTATGCTTAAGCTTAAGTAAACTATAATCATAAATGTTAAAAAATAAAAGTAACTGTAATACAGCCAAATGTGGCTGATGGCCGTATGAGGAAGCTTAATGTCGCTCAGGAAGTTATGGAGAGGGTTATGAGTGGAATTTCTCTGCATGATAAGACTTAAAAACGAGGCTATACACAGTAGAAACAGATAACCTACATAGCCCAATAGATTAGTAAGCTGAAGTGGCAGTAGGCTGGCCATATAGCTCGTAGATCTGACAACCAATGGGGAAGAAAGGTTCTTGAGTGGCAGCCTCGTACGCCGGTACAAGGCGTACGGTGGGGAAGTGTAGGGCGTCCCTCCTCTAGATGGAGTGACGACCTGGTAAGACATGCAGGAAGTCAATGGATGCAGGTAGCTCAGGGGCTTGCTTTGTGGCATTCCTTGGGGGAGGCCTATGTTCAGCAGTGGACTTGTAAAGGGCTGTAATGATGATGATGATGTAATAAAGTAACTACAAGATACAAAAACAAAAGTAACATTCTTCACTAGAGCAATATTTTCAAATGCATTATTATGTTAAATCTCAGAAGGGGAAGGGTGATTGGTATAAGCCACCCTGAAAAAGTAAAACACATCTTATTTATTACACACTGGTAGGTATCCTGCTGTGTGAAAGCGATTGGAAGTGGATAGCAACCTCCCTGTGATGCCAAACCTTGACCTAATGTTGCTGATATAATTTGACAGATGCTTTCATCATTTTTAACAAAGTTTACAGAAATCAGAGTTACTTTATTTATCAGTTTCACTATACCTAGTTTTAGCAGAAAGCAACAAATATATACTTTTAACTGTGAATAAATTTAATACACCACAGTTTAACCAAAAGCAATCACCTGCAACTTGTTGTAGACAACTTAACCATAATCTAGACCAGCGATCATCAATTAGTTTGTGGGTCTGTATAAAAAAAATATAAATCTGTTGTGGTACGTTTGCTAGATGATAACTAGCAATGAGATTTAAAAAGTCAATTACCAAAAAAAATTAAAAGAAGTCAGAATATTTTTATTAAGGATACATCTAATTAAAAAATAACAAAATAAGTAAAGTAACCCAATATTAAGGAGAAAAATGGCACTTTTTAATCTGAACAATCTGTCTGAAGTCTGATATTAAGTTGGTGCAAGCTATTGCCAGTAAATCCTGGCGATGGTAATCGGTAATACAAGTTCAAAATTTATTTTTGATGAAGTTCATCTTGGGAAATGATGCTTCATAAATATATATTGATCCAAACATTGTACGAATTTTCATTGCCAATTTTTTAGTTCTGGGCATTTATTACCACACACTAATTTTAACCAAAATTCTTAGCAAGAAACCTTCAAATTTCTGTTTTAAAACAGAAGAAAATTGAATTACCACAAATTAGAATTCTTCTGGGTCCACACAAACTAGGTTGGTGGTCCAGATCCAGACCACGGTCCACCATTTGATGACCCCTGATCAAGACTATTAGACCCTTTATAAAAATTACAATATATTGGATATAGAAACGAAAAACTACCTATTTATTACAATATTATTATCCTAATTACACTATATTGTTAAATGTGCATTTAGTACAATAAACTTTTTTTTTTATAGAATTAGTGTGACAAACGAGCACACAGTCCACCTAATGGTAAGTGGTTGCTGTGGCCCATAGACATCTGCATCTATTTTCCGTTGTGAATTAAAATGCAGATGCCTTGTCAGCCATGAGGACTAAGATGGATTGCCTCGTTTCCAGTAAAAAGGGTCTCCGGTTCTCTACACTCACCATACAAAACACAGCAGCATTCAGCTGCTATTTAACGCTGGTATTCTGTGAGAGAGTGGTCCTTCCCCTGTCGAGCCGACCCATTTGTGCTACAACTATACTATTAATATAGCTGCAGCATGGCTCTGCCACGTTCATAACTACTGAAAAACAATCACATTTTATAAAAAAAAAATTTAACTAGCATTTATGTAAATATCAATAGTATATCAGACATTATACAGTTTTTTATGTTTTGTATAAATTAAAATTGCTCAATAAAACAAGAAAAACAATTTATAAATCTTATAACTTTTTCGAAAATATTTTGTTACTTTTTCTCTTTACTCATGATGATACTTGCACAACAGTGATGGTGTTTGCTTTACTTAGTCACATTTCACTTAAATTTATACCATACATTTTAAATTAGATTAGATAGATTTCAGATTAATATCTCAAAATATATATGTTACTGCAATATAATATTTTAGGGCTAGACTAACTAAAATAAGATCTATCCTCATTAATGTTTAAAGCTTCAAATTGATTGTATGTTTTGTATAGTTGCGCCTAAGCCTATAACTCAAATTTAAAAAATTAATAAAAATATCTTAAAATATAAAAATCTTGTGTCACATTGGTTGTCCTCCATGAACTCCTAAACTACTAAAGTGATTATAATTAAATTTTGTAAATGTGTATAGCTTGCTCCACTTTGAGAGATAGGATAGTTTTTATCCCGATAAGTGAACCTCGATATTTTTTATTGCAAATTTAATGATTTTTATAAGGCAAAGTGATGTCGGTACAGGCATAACATCTGCATGACCAGCTAGTATTTTATAAAAGTTGTACTATATATGGTAGAGCCACACGGCAGCTTTTGCTGTCGCACGGATGGGCCGGCTCGAACCGGGGTAGTACCAAGACCTCACAGAAAACCAGCGTGAAGTAGAGGTTTACTGCGTTTCGCTTGGTGAGTGCAGGTGGCCGGAGGCCGTTTTTACTGGAAATGAGGCATTCCATCTTAATCCTCACGGGTGACAACGCATCTACATTTTGATTTGTAACAGAGGATAGATGTAAATGTCTATGGACCGCAGCAACCACTTACCATCAGGTGGACTGTGTGCTCGTTTGTCACCCTTATCCTATAAAATAAAAAAAACTATAGGTCAAAGTTCCTCATAAACTGCACCTTAATGAGAGAGTAATGGTTAATCTGACATACTACTCTAATACTGAACTGATATTATTTATACTGAAAACTTTTTTACTTCATAAAATTTTCTCCCAATCTAGAATGGTTTCATGCAATTGGTTATTGCTTATTTAATATAAATTTGTTTAGTTGAGAGTATGCTGTACTCACATACATAAATTATACACAATGATATTACTCATTGTAAACGTACATTTAAGTTTTACTTTATTTTATAACAGAAACTCACTTTTGTCATCATCGTCACTGTTGATGGAGTAATCATCACTTTCTTCCGGATGATCCTCAATACGGAAATCCGAATCATCTGAGCTCTCACCTTCGCCTAAATCAAAATCTAATAACGATTGAGGTTCGACAGGCTTTACCTTCCGCTTCGCCGGCCCTCTACCTGCTGCAATAAAAAATATTTAGTGGCAAATATCAATAACTTTATCTACAAAACAAATAAACAGTAACAAAAACGTCACCGATTTAGACATGGAATAAAAAATACTTAATATTTAGAAAAAAAACTTACAAGTACTCATAGTACATAAATTGTATACACAATAATCAATATTTCACTACACTTTACACTGAAACATAAAAAATAGGCATTGAAAGAAATAATTTATCTTAATGCATCATTCAGTTATTTTAGTTATTAATTATTCTTCTAATTTAATTGCATTTTTTTCATTGACATAATTTTTTCTCCAATTAAAAAAAAGTCAACGACAATTGACGTCTCAATATCTTTAAGATTTTTTGGCTTGGATGCTGATCTTTCAAGATCTTGTACTATTAGTTCTGAACAGAACTCAACTATGGCTTCAACAACTTCTGCTGCTGCCCAGAATGATGGTCGCCCACAGATTTTGATGAACCAGCCGGTGTCTCCTTAGGTGTGCGATGCAACAATACCACAGCTGGCGGCTCTGGCAGTTCCACACAAATGGATGACGCTAGTATAACATTAACTAATCAACCAGTGTGTCAACTCATTATCAGTCAGATACAGTATCTATGCAACCTAATATCACTCCTGACTATGGAAGAGAGTATCGCTCTTCGGGGATTGCCCTTGTTATTAACTGGATTGGCTGCAACATGGTGGAAAGGAGTAAAACAACAAATCCAACCAACGCTCCCTGCTACCAAAAATGTTACGGCCTGCAGCTGCCCCTGCAGAGACCAAATCTCCCGGGGCCCATGAGCGTAAGATTCAACGGGCACCGCGGGTTCAAGCCCGAATGGCTATATGGATAATGTTCTATCCTAGTACACTTTAAGGGGAAGGCTAGTCGAATAGAGAGTACTTACTTGTATCTGAGGCGACTGCTGTCTCAGGGCTCGGTCAGGCCGGAGGTGTGTATGTGTTGAGTGTAGTAGTGTTTTTGTGGTGTTGGTTGTGATAGACCTGACTGGACCGTTGAAGTCGGCATGAGCCCGGCCTTCGGCACCGCTCTAAATTGTGGTAATCCTCTTTGTTTGTATTGACCTGGACAGAAACAATGCAGTTGTTAAAACATACTTATGGTTCCCGTCTTCCACCACATAAAATATATAGAGAACTGTTTAATAAGGAGCAAGGCGATGAAAGCACGGATGTATTTGTTTGTAAAGCAACAACCCTGCTAGCACAATTACCACCAGGCACGTTAGCTGAGAATCCTGTACAGTTAGACATGGTTTATGGACTGCTGCATAGGAAAATACGCGAAAAGGTAGTCAGAGTCTCCGTTATGACATTTTCAGAGTTACTTGAAAAAGCACGTGCTGTAGAGGACCTTTTTGAAGAAAGACGAATGAGACCACATATGCGTCAGCAGATTTCCTCTAATAGATCATTAGCTGTATCTTCATCTACCTCTAATAATAATCAGGCGCGAATAAATGCGTCTGTTGCAACAAGTTATAGTGGAAATAATAAGTTTAGACCTCACTGTGCATACTGTAAGAAATATGGTCATGATAAGGAAACATGTCACAAACGGCCACAAGTTAAAATGGGTCAACAAAAAAAGGACATAAGTAACAATGAAACAGGTGCTAAAGGTACTTCAGTTGTTGTTTGGTACGTTCGAACTGTGGCAATTGTAAGAAAAACAGTGGTTCTTCGGTAGTGAAAAATTCTGTTTCTTTCCAGTCAGTGGCTGCTGTACATACAAAACTTACAGAGCCTTATGCTCGACCAATGATAAATGTAAGTGTATATAACACTAGTGGATGTGTTATAATAGATACCGATGCAAAATTGTCAATCGCGAGTGATAGCTTAGGAAATTTATTAGTTAGTAATAATCATAGGTTGCCGTGCTTTGTGGCATTCCTTGGGGGAGGCCTATGTTCAGCAGTGGACTTGTGAAAGGCTGTAATGATGATGATGATAAAATCATAGGTTGATTAACTCTGAACTTGAAATTAAATTAGCTGATGGTTCAGTTTGTAATAGAAATGTAGAAATAGCTACTGTAAATGTTGATATTTGTGGAATTGTTGTCTCCACAACTTTCGTTTTATTACCAGGTATCAAGGACACATTACTTGGCATGAATTTTATTAAAGATTCGGGAATGGTTATCGATCTAAAGTTAAATAGATTTTCATTAAGAGATGTAACAGGCACATATTTTCCGTTAGTTTTCGAAAATAATGGTAAGTCTCTAGCGTGTTCGGCAATGGCTCTTCGTGATAACGAAGGCACAATGCTTAACGATTCTGCACGTGAAATGATTTCGTCTATGTTAATAGAAACAGCCTCGTACCGGTAGGCGAAGTGTAGGGCGACCCCTCACGAGATGGAGTGAGGACCTGGTAAGACATGCAGGAAGTCGATGGATGCACGTGACTCAGAACCGTGCTTTGTGGCATTCCTTGGGGGAGGCCTATGTTCAGCAGTGGACTTATGAAAGGCTGTAATGATGATGATGATGATGATGAATAGAAAATAAAGATATGTTCATTCCAGGGGAAAAGCCACTAAATTTGCGGTACATCGTATTAACACGGGAGACTATGCACCTATTGAAGTGCCGCGTTATCGATTGACTCATGCGAAAAAGGAAATAGTACGCGCTGAACTGAATTAGATGCTAGAACAAGAAATTATCGAAGAAGCAGAATCTGAGTGGGCTTCACCAGTCGTGTTAGTGCCCAAGAAAAATGGAGAAACACGATTTTGTGTTGCCTATCGGAAATTGAATTTGGTGACCCGCACAGATCCACCCGCAACCACTCCCGCTTATCGAAGAATTGGTATCCTCAACAAAGGCCAATTGTATTATGTCAACATTATATCTGAAAGCTGGTTATTGGTAGGTGGAAGTTGCAGAAGAGGATCGTCATAAAACTGCATTCACCACACCTTTCGGAACGTTCTAATTTCGTCGGATGCCTTTCGACCTTATAAACTCACCAGCGACGTTCCAGTGCCTGATGGATCGCTTTCGGTCCGGACTCAGTGATGTTTGCGAGGTTGCCTACCTCGACGATTTGTTTGTTGTTTCTGATGATGTTGTATTTCATGTAAGAGATCTAAGAAAAGTCTTTGACAGACTCAGAGTATTAGGCTTGAAAGCCAACCGTGATAAATGTATGTTTACTAGGGACAGAGTAACATACCTAGGTCATGTGATTTCTTCTCAAGGAATCCAAACGGATCCTGAGAAGGTCGCAGCTATAGTAAACATGAGATCTCCTTCTAATTTGAAAGAGTTACGTAGCTTCCTTCAAACATGTAGTTGGTTCCGGAAATTCATTCCGCAATTTTCCGAAATAGCTAGACCGCTAACGTGTCTTACGAAAAAGAACGGAAAGTGGACATGGGGTGAAGAACAGATTCAGGCGTTTGCTACTCTCAAAGATAAACTCACTTCTGCCCCTATTCTTCGCCAGCCAGATTTTAAAGTTCCATTCGTTATTCGTACCGATGCTAGCGCCTACGCTTTGGGTGCTGTGTTAATGCAAGGTGAAGAAGCCAAAGACGAACGCCTGATTGAGTACGCTAGTAGGTTGTTGACTGCAACTGAGTGCAATTATGCGGTGGTCTGGGCTCTTGATAAATTCAGGGGTTTTGTGGAAAGTTCGCAGATTCGGATCGCCACTGTTCATCAACCACTGCGATGGCTGATGTCTCTTAAAACACCCAGTGGTCGTCTCGCACGATGGGCTATGGAGATCCAAGCGTATAATCTAAATATAGAATATACACCCGGGAAAATTAATTTGATTGCCGATACTCTTAGTCGACCGCCTCATTCCTCTTCGACAGAAAATGCAGCTTGTGACTTATGTTCTGTTTCCATTGATTTGCCCCATCGTGATGCTGCTGAGATTCATGCTGCACAGTTGGAGGATCCGTACGTCCAAAATATTTTAAAGGACTTCGAAAGCGAGGACATGAAGTTTACCCGTTGGACTGACAGGGGGTATTATGTCGCGCAAGGTGTATTATATAGAGTGGATCCTGATGGTGAGACTGAAGAACCACAACTTGTGGTCCCGCGATCGCTAAGAGGCGAGCTTATGAAAGAACGTTCACCGATAGATGTCATCAGCGATATCCGCTCCATATTAGATAATTCTAATTTCGTCCCTCAAATTACGCCGTATCTAAAACGGTTTACAGAGAGTCTTCAAGAGATTAAATGGAGACAAGAACGTCAGCAAGATCTTCGCAAAGAAGTTGCTGATTATGGGATGCGAGAAGCTCAACTTTACCAGGCAGGAGACTTTGTCCTAATCACATTGAATCCAGGAAAGTCATTTTTTGTCGTATTTATCTTTCTCCTGAAGATGTAAATATAATTAGCTTGCTACATATTAATTAATCTATTAATATAATAACCATAACCCGTGTGGTTAAAGAATGGGATTGAAAATGGCGTTAACTCTATTCATCTTTCGCTCGCACACAGTCGCTATCTATACTTACACCCACCGGTAAGGACTGCAAAAAAAATAATAATTTGCGATATGCTTTTTCCAGACGTTTTATAACTTCAGTTTATCGTACTACTGAAGTTCAGTCCAACTTGTCATTGGAATCAATAATAATAGAATTGTATAAACTACAAAAAAAATTCAGTCCGGTTTTGCCAATTCGTGAATTATGACGCGATCTGAGACTTTTCTTTATAATTATTTTTGATTTTGCTCGTTACTATTCTTGTATAAAATATTTACATGCCATTAAGACGAGTACTTAACCATTTTTTAAATTTTCTTTTATCTGTCTGTCTGAGCTAATCTTCGGATTGGCTGAACGGATTATAATAAAACTTAAAGAGGAAATACAGTAATACCAGGAGTGATCTAGATTAAATTTTATCCGAAAATTTTTGAGATTTTATTAAAATGGTAACAATAAGATATTTTTAATGATTATCTTAAATCTAAATAACACCACATGGTACCACAAAAGTGCACAAAAAAAACAACCTCATAGGGCGAACATATATATATACTGTATTTGTTCCGACGTGGATAAAAATACAATTTCCCATAATTTTGGGTAATTTTTCCCCAAAAATAATTAAGAACACTGATCATGTGACGCATGATTTGTGTTCCAAAATTAGCAATTTAGTTTATGACAAAAATTCTCATATAAGTGATAATAATTACTGACTTTTCTATAAAAGTGATTTCTTGATGATTTTTCATAAAACGAATATAATTTTTTTAACATTTTACGACACAAAACTGAATACTTATTTTTTACTTACGACAGCTACTTCTCACGGACGCCATTGGTTGCGTAGTGGCGGGTCCTAGACTTATTATTGTGTAAATGTATGCATGACCTTTATCTTATTTTGGGTGCTTCACTGGATTGTGTAGTGAGATTCAGTCTGCCTTTTTTTATACGTCCATGTTTATTGATTTATGTTGATTAAGAAAGTTCATTTAATTACTTTTTTTGTTTCTTATATAATGGAGATACTAAAATATTTCTGGCATATAAGGCATTTTCATAAATATGTAGAGGCGGCAGATTTATAGCGAGCTTAGCGCAGATTATTTATTTTCACGATGGTCACACTCACTGCTATGAAGTATAAAATTTAATATTTTTTTTTATTTTAACAGACAGTTTAAGTATGGTCCAAAGTTTAACCAATATCAGATTTGACTTTAAAAAAAAACTATATTTTGTATAATATTAAAAAAAATATTTAGTTATGCACAAAAGGGTATACAGGTCTCTTTCATGTGAATTCCATCACATAGAGCCATAACAGAAAATGAGATAGTAAATAAAATTTCACGTGATGGAACCAACATGTTGGATGTTAGCTCCATAGTAAAAGTACCTTTGACTGACTGTTATCAATCTATTGACAACCAGATCAATAGTTTATGGGTCGAATTTTGGAAACAAGACCAAGAACAGAAGGGTAAATGGTATGGAAATGTTCAAGAAAACCTACCTGTAGCACCATGGTATAACAAACTGAAAATGGCCAGTAAGGACTTTATTACGACTATAAACACACCACGTTTTGGTCACTCCACCGTCCTGGCCCACCTGGTTCGGTTGGGCATAGTGGAGAGCAGCTACGGCACCTTCTGCAATAATTCTGTTGGTGATATCGAACATTTCATATTTATGTGTGAGTGCTTTTCATTTGACAGATTGATGTTTGTCAGTGAAATTAGTGACATGGTGCAAAATCAAGTGACAGTGCAAGATCCCGCCCGCCCATAGATATAAGAAAAATAGGGGATATTGCATGTGGTCACGTGATCTGAAGTCAAGTGTTTCTCAAATATGGCGACGACTTCACCCACAAGAAATAGCATTGTTTTTGTCGATATTTTCAGTATCGATGCTATACAAATTATGACGTATTGCCCATCTCATAGGTATATATTAAAAAAAACAAATATTAGATCACTGCACTATTGCATTGGGTTAATCCTGTAATAATAGTTGTATTGAGATGATAAATAAATAAATCTTACGTTCAACTCAGAATAGGAAAGTTTTGAAACTGTAATTGCTTTAAGATATGATGAAGCAACAGTCAAAAGTGAGCGAAGAGACCAAGGAAAGAGCACTTGATTGGAGCTTTAACTCCTTTCTCTTCAGAACACGTATACGACGTGCACCAGAATATTATACTGAGTTCGTGCAACGAGGCTAACGTTTTTCGTAACGACGGCAATCTGCACATAAGCACTCTATCCGTGCGTCCCTGGGTCGACACATGCATTTTTTTTTCTCCTCTGCAGAGATTAACGAAACCACCTCTATAGCCAATGTATTTGGCTTCGTATGATTTTTTTGTCCAGCCCATGCTGTCCCACTACTAGGCAGAAGTCTCCCCTAAGTTTTCCCAGTGGTATTGTCCTGCAACTAACTTCCCAGCCGCTATGAAGTAATAAATATATGATATAATTCACGCAACCTGGACGCATACCGTTGGGGCTGGTTCGATGTGGTGCAGGACAATACCACTGGGAAAACTTAGGGGAGACTTCTGCCTAGTAGTGGGACAGCATGAGCTGGACAAAAAAATCATACGAAGCCAAATACATTGGCTATAGTGGTGGTTTCGTTAATCTCTGCAGAGGAGAAAAAAAAATGCATGTGTCGACCCAGGGACGCACGGATAGAGTGCTTATGTGCAGATTGCCGTCGTTACGAAAAACGTTAGCCTCGTTGCACGAACTCAGTATAATATTCTGGTGCACGTCGTATACGTGTTCTGAAGAGAAAGGAGTTAAAGCTCCAATCAAGTGCTCTTTCCTTGGTCTCTTCGCTCACTTTTGACTGTTGCTTCATCATATCTTAAAGCAATTACAGTTTCAAAACTTTCCTATTCTGAGTTGAACGTAAGATTTATTTATTTATCATCTCAATACAACTATTATTACAGGATTAACCCAATGCAATAGTGCAGTGATCTAATATTTGTTTTTTTTAATATATACCTATGAGATGGGCAATACGTCATAATTTGTATAGCATCGATACTGAAAATATCGACAAAAACAATGCTATTTCTTGTGGGTGAAGTCGTCGCCATATTTGAGAAACACTTGACTTCAGATCACGTGACCACATGCAATATCCCCTATTTTTCTTATATCTATGGGCGGGCGGGATCTTGCACTGTCACTTGATTTTGCACCATGTCACTAATTTCACTGACAAACATCAATCTGTCAAATGAAAAGCACTCACACATAAATATGAAATGTTCGATATCACCAACAGAATTATTGCAGAAGGTGCCGTAGCTGCTCTCCACTATGCCCAACCGAACCAGGTGGGCCAGGACGGTGGAGTGACCAAAACGTGGTGTGTTTATAGTCGTAATAAAGTCCTTACTGGCCATTTTCAGTTTGTTATACCATGGTGCTACAGGTAGGTTTTCTTGAACATTTCCATACCATTTACCCTTCTGTTCTTGGTCTTGTTTCCAAAATTCGACCCATAAACTATTGATCTGGTTGTCAATAGATTGATAACAGTCAGTCAAAGGTACTTTTACTATGGAGCTAACATCCAACATGTTGGTTCCATCACGTGAAATTTTATTTACTATCTCATTTTCTGTTATGGCTCTATGTGATGGAATTCACATGAAAGAGACCTGTATACCCTTTTGTGCATAACTAAATATTTTTTTTAATATTATACAAAATATAGTTTTTTTTTAAAGTCAAATCTGATATTGGTTAAACTTTGGACCATACTTAAACTGTCTGTTAAAATAAAAAAAAATATTAAATTTTATACTTCATAGCAGTGAGTGTGACCATCGTGAAAATAAATAATCTGCGCTAAGCTCGCTATAAATCTGCCGCCTCTACATATTTATGAAAATGCCTTATATGCCAGAAATATTTTAGTATCTCCATTATATAAGAAACAAAAAAAGTAATTAAATGAACTTTCTTAATCAACATAAATCAATAAACATGGACGTATAAAAAAAGGCAGACTGAATCTCACTACACAATCCAGTGAAGCACCCAAAATAAGATAAAGGTCATGCATACATTTACACAATAATAAGTCTAGGACCCGCCACTACGCAACCAATGGCGTCCGTGAGAAGTAGCTGTCGTAAGTAAAAAATAAGTATTCAGTTTTGTGTCGTAAAATGTCAAAAAAATTATATTCGTTTTATGAAAAATCATCAAGAAATCACTTTTATAGAAAAGTCAGTAATTATTATCACTTATATGAGAATTTTTGTCATAAACTAAATTGCTAATTTTGGAACACAAATCATGCGTCACATGATCAGTGTTCTTAATTATTTTTGGGGAAAAATTACCCAAAATTATGGGAAATTGTATTTTTATCCACGTCGGAACAAATACAGTATATCATCAACGTCTCGGGATTTAAACACCAGCGCACTTAAAAAGAAGTATAATTCCGCCTCCAGGTCCTTCAAAAGCGTCATTGCCAAGGCAAGGTCTGAGCACATCGGCAGAATTGGCGAGAAGCTAGTTCGCCTTCCTTCGGGAACCCGTGCATTCTGGTCTCTCGCCAAGGCTGTCAAAGGGAACTTCTGTCAGCCATCCCTCCCATCTCTGCACAGAGAGGACGACTCACTGGCCCATGCCGCAAAAGAGAAAGCCGATCTGTTGTGCTCTCTTTTTGCGTCCAACTCGACTCTAGATGACGGGGGGAACACACCGCCGACCATCCCGCGATGTGAGTGCTCCATGCCGGATGTGCGATTTACACAGCGCTCGGTTCGCAAAGCACTCTTCTCCCTGGACGTCAGCAAGTCGAGTGGGCCCGATGAAGTCCCTCCCATTGTGCTGAAGACGTG